TGGTACAGAATTTGCAAACATCCTCAGTAACACTTTTTCTGGCAATTTGCATCTCTGTTGACACCCACCAAGCAGAGGAAATGTTTTGTTGATTAATATTGTAGAATCATTATATACACAAAAAACTATTCACCTTGTAAAAGGGTTTATTGTTGTAATTCCAGATTAACTCTGCAAAGATTTTCTTGAGACCCTTGCAAAATTGTTTCATATTGGAGGCTGGTATGATGCTATAAACAGATTTATAATTTGCTTATATTTTAGTGTATTCTTTGCTGCTAGCAGCAAAAGTCAGTTAGATATATTTAGCAGCATTCATTGTGGAGCTCTGTTGCTTGAAGGGGTAAAACGTAAATATAATACGTTTTTGTATAATTTTCATTTGCAGCTGTGAAATAGAACTGGTGTCAGGATGTCTGATGACGTGTTGCTTGTACTGTGTCTTATAATGAATGTTTGGCTTGGATTGATTTGATGTTTCTCTAACCACTTTTTTGTAAATATGCCTTGATCCTTTTTCTTTTGGAATTTTCATCATGTCTGTATTTTAGTGTGTACAGGACATTTAGCTCTTAACCTATTCATTCAGGTACTATAATTGTTATGTAAGTAAAACTTAAACAATTTGGCAGTTTAAGAAATTTTTTGTAATGTTTTACTTTTTTGTTCATATTCATCATTGTGACTTAGGATTTTTTTCGTTGAGCCTCAATGGATGAGTACAGGAGGGCCCTGCTTATACATGTCAACTGGCGAGTCTAATATTCTTTAACAAGTGCGCTGATATTATTTATGCCATTTCTATACTAATGCAGTAGTCTGCATAACAGTAAATCTTCTATTTTTTGTGAGAATAAAAATTCAAAGTGGAAAGCAAAAGAAATGTAAGAGGAGCCTGGGGATGTGACTAATAAACAGAGGAAATGTTATTTTAGTGCCAGGAATGTCTGTCTTGTTTATTCTGGACCCTATTTGGAAATTGGAATCTTTTGAAATTTGTGTGAAATTGGTAAAATTGCCAATTTCTGACCACTTTATTGGATAGTTGAAATCGATAAATGGTTGGTTTCTTGTACTCATTTGATAGAAAAAATGCAGTTCTAGCAAAATAGTTATGATTTTTGTCGACTAGTACACTGGAATTGGCCGAAAATAGGGCTCAAAGTGGGTGAAATCGCTCGTGTAAACATTGTCAATACCACTAACTTCGCGAGAGATAATTCCGTAAGTTTTCCATCAAATTTCATACTTTTGGTGTCATTATGATTGGGAAAAGATTCTCTATCATTTAATAATTTTTTTTTTTTTCCCAAAAAATTTTTGACCCTGAGAACAAGTTTAGGAGAGGGCCTCTCGACCCTGAAAGGGTTAAGTGAGCAATATAGCGAGGCCTAAAAGATGCACATACAGTATACACATTACTTACTTTAAAATATTTTCTTAAAATATTAGCTTATAGTGAGTGGTATACCTGGAGAGGGTTTCGGGGGTCAACACCCCCACGGCCCAGTCTGAGACCAGACTGAGTGGTGGATCAGGGTCTGATCAGCCAGGCTATTACTGCTGGCAGCACGCAAACTGATGTACGAACCACAGCCTAGCTGGTCAGGTACTGACTTTAGGTGCCTGTCCAGTGCCTTCTTGAAGACAGCCAGGGGTCTATTGGTAATCCCCCTTATGTATGCTGGGAGGCAGTTGAACAATCTTGGGCCTCTGACACTTATTGTGTTGTCTCTCACTGTACTCGTGGCATCCCTGCTTTTCACTGGGGGAATGTTGCATCTCCTGCCAAGTCTTTTGCTTTCATAGGGAGCGATTTTTGTGTGCAAGTTTGGTATTAATCCTTCTAGTATTTTCCAAGCGTATATTTTTGTGTATCTCTCGCCTGCATTCCAGGGAATACAAATCAAGGGACTTCAACCGTTCCCAGTAATTGAGGTGCATTATCGTACTTATGTGTGCCATGAAAGTTCTTTGTACACTCTCCAGGTCAGCAATTTCACATGCCTTGAAGGAGGCAGTTAGTGTACAGCAGTATTCCGGCCTAGAGAAAACAAGCGATTTGAAGAGAATCATTGTTGGCTTGGCATCCCTAGTTTTGAAGGTTCTCATTATCCATCCTATCATTTTTCTGTCAGATGCAGTAGATATATTGTTGTGGTCTTTGAAGGTGAGATCCTCTGATATTATCACTCCCAGGTCCTTCACATTACTTTTTCACTCTATTGTATGGTTAGAATTTGTTGTATACCCTGATACAGTTTTAATTTCCACAAGTTTTCCATATCTGAGTAGTTGATATTTCTCTTCATTGAACTTCACGTTGTTTTGAGTGGCCCATTGGAAGATTTGGTTGATGTGTGCTTGGAGTCTTGCGGTGTCTTCGATGGAGGACACTGTCATGGCAGTTTGGGTGTCATCCGCAAAGGAAGACATGGAGCTATGGCTTACATCTCTGTCTGTGTCAGATATGAGGATGAGGAATAGGATGGGAGTGAGTACTGTGCCTTGTGGAACAGAGCTTTTCACCGTAGCTGCCTGGGACTTTACTCTGCTTACTATTACTCTTTGTGTTCTGTTTGTTAGGAAGTTATAGATTTATCTACTAACTTTTCCTGTTATTCCTTTATCACGCATTTTGTGTGCTATTACACCGTGGTCACACTTGTCAAAGGCTTTTGCAAAGTCTGTGTATAATACATCTACATTTTGTTTATTCTCTCAAGCATCCAGGACCTTGTCATAGTGGTCCAATAGCTGCGACAGGCAGGAGCGACCTGCTCTAAATCCATGTTGCCCTGGGTTGTGTAATTGATGGGTATCTAGGTGGTTGGCAATCTTGCTTCTTAGAACCCTTTCAAAGATTTTTTGATATGGCATGTTAGTGCTATTGGTCTGTAGTTCTTCGGAATTGCATTACTACCACCTTTGTAAAGTGGGGCTGTGTCTGTTGTTTTTAGTGAGTATTGTATGACTCCCTGAATGCTGAAGGCATGTGATAGGAGTTCTTGCAGTTCTTGATGAACACGGAGTTCCATGAGTCTTGGCCTGGGGCAGAGTGCATGAGCATGTCATTTATTGCCTTTTCAAAGTCTTGTGGTATTAGGATAGTATCAGAATATGGTGAATATATTTATTGTAGGAAGAATGGGTATAATAGCAAACTGCTGTACAACCTCTCCTCACTTAGCGACGTGTACTTGTTTACCGATGACTCAGACTTACGACGGCCTCTCAGACCAGTATGCATACCTAAATAATGTATATTAGGGCTGATTTCCTCTTCTCTGATTATTACAATATACAATACGCACATTACCGTATAAACATTTAAAAATATACCAGAAATGTTATAAATGGTGCAAAGGTGACATTAAAACAATATCAAAGATGGTTTACACAAACCCACTGCCATTATAGTATGCTCCTCACTTAGCAAAGAATTCATTTACCGATGTGGTCTTAGGAACAGAACTCCATCATTAAGTGAGGAGAGGCTGTATTAGTGAAATGCTGTAAAGTGGGGCCTGCCTGTATCCTGATTCACTTGCATAATTTTTATGCTTCGTTTGCATGTGTAGGGTGAGCAGCGAGTCAGGAACAGTTTTATACACGACTCGCTGAGGGACCTCCACATAAAGAAACAATGAACAACATAACAATAAACCTATAAATGCATCACTATTATGGTTCTTGTTTACTTCTATAGTACATGTATTCATTAATGAGAAAATAACTCATTTTAGTGATTTAATGAGTACGCAGTGCATGAAATACAGTACCTGTATATGCCACTGAACTTATCCCCAGAAATGACTTACTGTAACTTCCCTCTTTCCTCCCAAAATCCAAGGGGGTTTAGGCTCTTATTTTCTGTAAGGTTGGTTTTTGCCAACCTGATTGGGGATGTATAATACTGTAAGGCTATCAGTTCCAGTCACAATGAAACAACTATATTGTATTTTTCATCTTTATTGTTCAGTAAGGTTGTGTCTCACTGTTTAGCTAGGAACTATATTTCAAAGTACAGTACATTATGAAATGTGGTTTAAATGCTCATGGAAATCATTAGGATTGTTCAGGTTCAAATATATCTCCTCAAAGGAGATTCCTTGATGCTGATGAGGGGGTTTTGATCCAAGGAATTGAACCTGACCTCCCCTTACTGTCAGTTCCAGTTGCTTCTGTTCTCATAGGCACTGTATAATCCCTCTGGATTTAGTGCTTCTCCCCATCCCGAGAATATAATAATAATAATAATAATAATAAACATATAGGTATGTTGCACTCTCTTGATCACTCATGGGATTGGGTATCACTGTATGTTTTTATTTTTGTTTACATGATCTAGTACATAGTTTTCATTAAATGATGCATTGCTTTGCTATTGTCTGTATTGTATTATGATAATTCTTCTGTATTTGCATTTTTTCTTTACTCAAATGTTGCTTATTAATTTAGAAGTGTAAATGCTTAAAAATAAGAAATGTATAGGCATGTTGTATTTTAAATTATGTAATACCTAAACATTTCTTTAGAGACTTAATATAACACCATATGAATATACACACTTCATTAATAAGTTGATATAATAAATTTAAACTTTTATCTTCAAATGCACATTGAACATAAATAATTTCACAAGTTATTCACTACATTGTATGTTCAGAAAAGTATGTTTCTGGAAGTTAAATGATTAATAATTATTGTTATACTGTACTGTTAGACAAGGCACATGGGAAGTATTTAATTTATTCACTAGTCTTATTACACTAGTATTTAGACTTGGTTCTTTATTGCCTTAGTCTTTGAAGTTAAATAGTGAATGGATTGCTTTTGTTTTCTGATGACCTTACATTTGATATGTTGGTGATACTGTATAACTTTTGGTACTGTACTTAAGGATTACCTTTTTGAAACTTGTTTATATGTTCTAGTGTTGACTGTTTGGTTTGATTGCACTCAATTTAGAAAAAAACTTGCACTGTCCCTTGGCACAGGTAATGTGGGTATAGGACATTCGCGTTACTCCACAGCAGGAGGGCGTGACCCTACAAACACGCAGCCCTTCATGGTACATACTCGCCATGGCCCTCTCGCCACTGCTCATAATGGTGAACTCATCAATGCTGTTGCCCTGCGTAAGACAGTATGTTCCAATCAAGTGATGATAATTATATTCACAGGAAAGTGGTAAACTTGTAATGGTCATACAATGCCTTGGAAATAGATGATAAACAGGCTTAATTCAAGGATGGGGAGGGTAGCTCCAGTTCTTTGGATTAACCCTTTGACTGTCGCGGCCGTATATATACGTCTTATGAGGTACCGTGTTTGACGTATATATACTCATAAATTCTAGCGGCTTCAAATCAAGCAGGAGAAAGCTGGTAGGCCCACATGTGAGAGAATGGGTCTGTGTGGTCAGTGTGCACCATATAAAAAAAATCCTGGAGCACGCAGTGCATAATGAGAAAAAAAAAACTCCGACCGTTTTTTTTAATTAAAATGCCGACTTTGTGGTTTATTTTCGTATAGTATTTATGGTTGTATTCTCGTTTTCTTGGTCTCATTTGATAGAATGGAAAACATATTATTGAAATAGAGGTGATTTTGATTGATTTTACTATAAAAAGGACCTAGAAATGGAGTTCAAAGTAGGGGAAATGTTTGATTTTTGCCAATGTTCAAAAGTAAACAAATGATGCCATTGTCCAATAAATGTCCAACTAGCCATTCTAATATGCAGTCATGAATGGGTTGATGTTATTTATACAATTATTACAGTATTGCAGTAGTCTGCATAATAGTAAGTCTTCTATTTTTTGTTTGAATAAAAATTCAAAATAAAAAGCAAGAGTAATATCAGAGGGGCCTGGAGACATGACTGATGAGCAAAGAAAATGTTATTTTAGAGCCAGGAATGTCTGCATTGTTCATTCTGGACCTTATTTTGAAATTGTCATATTTTTTAGTTTTCGTGAAATTGGCTAAATTGCAAATTTCTGACCACATTATTAGGTAGTTGAAATCGGTAAATGGGCAGTTTCTTGTACTCAATCGATAGAAAAAATGGAGTTCTAAAGAAATAGCTATGAGTTTGGGCAACTGGAACAATGGAATTAGCCGAAAATAGGGCTCAAAGTGGGTGAAATCGCCGATTTGTAAACAGCGCCGAGGTCGCTAACTTCGCGAGAGCATAATTCCGTCAGTTTTCCATCAAATTTCGTTTTTTTGGTGTCATTACAATCGGGAAAAGATTCTCTATTATTTCATAAGAAAAAATAATTTTTTTTTAAAATTTTGTGACACCAGGAGACACCTCAGGATTGGGGGTTGCGACAGTCAAAGGGTTAAGAGTCAAAATCCATTATTTCAGGTGATGAAATAATGGATTTTAAACTTTATTTTTTCCTTCAATAGCATATTGTCAAATTTTTTTGCATTTCTCTATCACCCAGTGTTCTCTTTTAAATCTATAATTTTTTTTTCAATAAACCGGCTGTATCCCACTGAGGTAGGGTGACCCGAAAAGAAAAACGAATCTTTCTTTTTTTAAATTTAGTAATGTATACAGGAGAAGGGGGTTACTAGCCCCTTGCTCCCTAATCATGTACAGGTCTCCCTCAACATTCACGTTTTCAGCTTTCGCGGGCTTCACACATTCGCGAATTCCCAACCGCCAAATTCCCAGCTACCAAATTCCCAGCCGCCAAATCATATTCAAGTTTCCCGCCACCTGCGAGTCCCTACTACCCTCCCTCCGACCCCCGCAACTGGCAGCCAGCCCTCCCACCACTCAGTGTGGTGAGTGTTTTGTTTGTTCATTATTTGCTATTAAACTACAGTATAAATAATGTAAACACATTCATGACTGCATATTGGAATGGCTATTTGGACAGGTATTGGACGGTGACATCATGTGTTTATTCTTGAACACAGCAAAGAATCAAACATTTCTGCTACTGCTAATAATAACAATAATAATAATAATAATAATAATAATAATAATAATAATAATAATAATACGATATAATTGAAGAAGGAAATTGTACAAAAATACGAGGGAGTGGTTGACACATCGTCAGTGTGGCTTTGTTTATGCTGGAGTGAACATTAGTCTCCCTGCTCTTCCAAACATTTCACAATAATTCATTGTTTGGTGCTTGTAGATTGAGTGTGACTGGAGTGGTTGAGGCAGTGGTAAAGGTGATAGAGGCAGTGGTAGAGGCAGTGGTAGAGGCAGTGGTAGAGGCAGTGGTAGAGGCAGTGGTAGAGGCAGTGGTAGAGGCAGTGGTAGAGGCAGTGGTAGAGGCAGTGGTAGAGGCAGTGGTAGAGGCAGTGAAAGAGGCAGTGATATTTACTAACATATATGTTATAAATAATAATAGTACATTATGAATAACATTTATTATTATTATTATAAATGTTATTAATATTAACATGTACTATTATTATTTATAACATACGTATATGTTAGTAAATACCACCGCCTCACCCACTGCCTCTATCACTGTCTATCACTGCCTCTATCACTATCACTGCCTCTATCACTGTCTATCACTGCCTCTATCACTGTCTATCACTGCCTCTATCACTGCCTCTATCACTGCCTCTATCACTGCCTCTATCACTGTCTATCACTGCCTCTATCACTGTATCACTGCCTCTATCACTGCCTCTATCACTGTCTATCACTGCCTCTATCACTGTCTATCACTGCCTCTACCACTGTCTCAACCGCTGAATTATTGTGAAATGTTTGGAAGAGCAGGGAGACTAATGTTCACTCCAGCATAAACAAAGCCACACTGACGATGTGTCAATCACTCCCTCGTATTTTTGTACAATTTCCTTCTTCAATTATATCGTATTATTATTATTATTATTATTATTATTATTATTATTATTATTATTATTATTACTATTGTTATTATTAGCAGTAGCAGAAATGTTTGATTCTTTGCTGTGTTCAAGAGTAAACACATGATGTCACCGTCCAATACCTGTTCAAATAGCCATTTCAATATGCAGTCATGAATGTGTTTACATTATTTATACTGTAGTTTAATAGCAAATAATGAACAAACAAAACACTCACCACACTGAGTGGTGGGAGGGCTGGCTGCCAGTTGCGGGGGTCGGAGGGAGGGTAGTAGGTACTCGCATTGGTTGAGGAAGTGGTGGAGGCAGTGGTGGAGTCTGTAGTATTTAATAACATACATGTTATTAAAGCATAACATGTATATATTTAGTACAACTTACGACGTTTTCATGTATTTTATGATTGTTCATGATTCAGCAAGTTAAGCAGTATTGTATTATATTTCCCTACAATATATCGGGGCACCAAACATTCACGGTTTTTCAACATTCGCGAGGCTCTTGATCCCCTAACCTTCGCGAATGTTGAGGGACACCTGTACTTTGATTAATTCTATGATTTATTTAAATTAATAAGACTTTTATATTTGTATAGTTATATATGTACTTCCATTTTGTGTTTTTGTCAGGTTCTTGACAGAGGTGTGGGTCTATCAACACAGTCTGACTCAGAGTTGATTACACAGATGTTGTCACAGATACCTCCCAGAGGTGAGAAAGCTGGTCCTGACTGGGGTGCTAGGATACGGCACCTGATGGAAGCCACCCCCACTGCGTACTCTCTGGTGTTACTGCATGAGGACAAGATATATGGTGTGAGGGACCCTTTTGGCAATCGGCCCCTCTGTATAGGCAGGCTCATGCCAATAAAGACGGCTTATGGTACTGGTTTGTTTATGAAGGCTTCTTGTATCATTGTTTTTCACAAAAGCATTTTAGAATATAAATACGTATATCTTTGTATTATACAAATTTTGATTCATTTATAATTAATATTCTACTGTACAGCTATGAAATAATTACTTTCCTACTGTACAACTATGATATACTATTTCTTAGTATTAAGTAGAATGTAAGCCAATAATGTTAAATTGGCCCATAATGCCAAGGCGTAATAGAGGTTCTCTTTGTATTGCATCCCACTATTGTACATACACAATCTCAATGTACTGTTTGCAAAGGCATTAAGTAAATAAATAAATAAATAAAACTTACATTTGAAAAAAATTGCAATTTGTACTCGGATATATTAGCTAGATAATAATGAACTTGGTAGCCAATACTATTAAACTAAGTAATACAGTATGTATTATAAAGTATTATTAGTATTTAAGGTGAATATATAATATTCTTACAGATGGAATGGATTCCCCTAAACCTCTAGGCTGGGTTCTTAGTTCAGAGTCTTGTGCCTTCCAGTCCGTGGGTGGCACTCTGATGCGAGAGGTTAGTGCACAGCTTTTGTGAATTTTGCTCTGAAGATACCTGTAGGATATTTTACCATGAAATAACTCTTGGTCATTTCTTTGCAAAAGTATCAGAGCAGTTGTTTTGCAAATCATTGCTCACAGTGAACTTGTGTGTGCTTTTACCCTTTAGGTTTACCCTGGTGAGATTGTGGAGCTGGGCCCAGAAGGCGTGCGATCGCTGGATATTGTGCCCCGGCCAAAGCCTGCCAAGCCATTTAGTGAGGCACATGAAGACCCTAACCACACTGATCATGCTGACATCCTCCATTCCCCACCACCTGCCTTCTGCATTTTTGAATATGTTTACTTTGCTCGGGCAGATTCAGTATATGAAGGTATTTAGGTCAAATTCTGGTAAATGAGGATTTCTAAAAAAAATTGTCATGTTAATTTGGTATTTTTATAGGATATCTTGATTTACTGGCTCTTTTTGGATTTTAGTTTGTAGTAAAATTTGTGTTACTGATATCAGAATCCTCTAATTTTATAGTAATTAACCAATGTTAATTTTTAATGGCATTCATATTTTTTCAGCAGTGATAATCCACTAATTACAGTACAGCATTTGTTCACAGTTGATTATCATGTAAAGAAAATATTGTATTGATGTGGATTGTTAAAATAATTCGTGTAAATGCTGCAGTGAGGAGGCGGCTGGAGGCAGTGGAGATGCCGTGTCTAAGGGCACTGTGTAGTGTAAATATTATGCAGAGAATTCGTAGTAGAAATTTGGAGGAGGTGTGGAGTTACTAAAAGTATTAGTCAGAAGGCTGAAGAGGGGTTGTTGAGGTGGTTTGGTCATTTAGAGAGAATGGAACAAAGTAGAATGAATTGGAGAGCGTACAAATCTGTTGGGGAAGGAGGGTGGGGTAGGGGTCATCCCCAAAGAGGTAGGAGGGAGAGGGTAAAGGAGGTTTTGTGGGTGAGGGGCTTGGGCTTCCAGCAAGCATGTGTGATCGTGTTAGATAAGAGTGAATGGAGTCAAATGGGTTTTGGGACCTGATGAGCTGTTGGAGTGTGAGCAGGGTAATATATTGTGCAGGGATTCAGGGAGACTGGTTAACCGGACTTGAGTCCTGGAAATGGGAAGTACAATGCCTACACTTTAAGGGAGGGGTTTAGGATATTGGCAGTTTGGAGGGACGTCTAAACTTTCGTATCTGAGCGCCTCTGCAAATCAATGATTATGTATGAGTGATGGTGAAAGTATTTTTCTTTCTTTTTGGGTCACCCTGCCTGGGTGGGAGATGGCCGACATGTTGAAAAAAAAAATATATTTTCCAGGATTATTTTGTAATAAGGTTCTGTTTCTCAGGTCAACAAGTATATAGTGTGCGACAAAGGTGTGGGCGGCAGCTAGCCATCGAGTCTCCTGTAGAAGCTGACATAATTTCCACAGTTCCTGAGTCAGCCACACCTGCAGCCATGGGATTCTCTCTCCAGGTGAGATGTTATGAGATAGTGTAGTACAATTCAGTACAGTGGACCCCCGATGGCCTCAACCTACAATAAAATCGACTTATGATGCTTGTCAGCGTAAAAATTTGACCCCGACCTATGTTGAAAAACACAACTTACATCATTCGTCCTGAACATGGCCGTCTGGTCCATCTGGCCTGAGCGCCTCAGCTGAGCTAGTGTGACATTGTTTACAAGCCAGGGCAGACGGTTGCACGCATACATTCGATAAATTTTATATTATTCCAGTGTTTTTAGTGCTTGTAACTGCCAAATAAGCCACCATGGGCTTATCGAGAATACCAAGAAACAATTAACCCCAGAGGGTTAGCCACCCAGGATAACCCAAGAAAGTCAGTGTGTCATCTAGGACTGTCTAACTTATTTCCATTGGGGTCCTTAATGTTGTCCCCCAGGATGCGACCCACACCAGTCGACTAACACCCAGGTGAACAGGAAAAAATGCCTGGAACTAGTGCTCATATTGGTGAATTTAAGGTCAGCAAAGGTTGGTTTGAGAGATTTAAGAATCGTAGTGGCATACACAGTGTGATAAGGCCTGTTCTGGAAGAAAATGCCAAACAGGACCTACATTACTCAGGAGGAAAAGGCACTCCCAAGACAGTGTCTCATCACTCATCACCACATCTTCAATAAAGGTAAGTGTCATTTATTCTTCATTTAGTACATTAGTACATGCACAATATATATTGTGCATGTATCCTTTTTGTGTGTAGGAAAATGTATATTTCATGTGGTAAAAATTTTTTTTCATACTTCTGGGTGTCTTGAACGGATTAATTTAGTTTCCATTATTTCTTATGGGGAAAATTAATTCAACTTACGATAATTTTGTCTTACGATGTGCTCTCTGGAACAGATTAATATTGTAAGTTGGGGGTCCACTGTATATCAAACTTTGAAAAAGAGACGAATTTGTTGTTAGGTACTTCAATTTTTGGTTCTCAAGGTCAAAATAAAATATTGAAAGTTTTATGAAAAAAATGGTTTATTATCGCTACAACAAGTAAATTTGTAAGTGCTTAAATAATGCATTCTTCCTAAATTATGATTTCTGTTGTTGCAGTCTGGTATCCCATACGTGGAAGTGTTGTGCAAGAATCGTTATGTGGGACGTAGCTTTATTCAGCCTGATACACGTTCCAGGCAGCTTGCTGTTGCTAAGAAGTTTGGTGCTTTGACAGAAAATCTTGCAGGTCGTAGAGTTGTGTTAGTGGATGACTCCATTGTGAGGGGTACTACTGTAGGGCCCATTATCAGACTTCTTCGGCAGGCTGGAGCTCGGGAGGTAGGTATAGTTTAGTATTTGGAGAGAAAGATGATATTGACACTCCCCGACGTGTATCCTTTGGGGAAAGTGGCTTAAAATTCCTTTCTGTTAAGCCATGCTGGGTGTACATGGTTATGTCACTGGCAAGAGCAAAGGTCCAGTCATGTCTCTTCGTATTTTACCAAGATTACATAAAGGGGGAACCTTTTCTTTGGATCACTCTGCCTTTGTGAGAAAGTTCAGGCAGATAAAATAAAATGTTTTAGTACTGGCAGGTGTTAGCAGAATTAGCAGAATAGAAAAACACTATTACGATAATATTTTCCTTCAACTATGTCTGGGAAAAATGCTTATTGGTGATTCATAGCCTTAAAAATTAGTAACTTTGGTTATTGAATTTTATAAACTAAAAGAAATAAGACTTCTATAATATTATTAGTCAGTGGTTCTGTAAAGTACAAGTAATAATGAGAAAATAATGCATAGGGACAGGCAACAGGATAGTTATCTGTATAGTTATTCGTATATTTCTCTGCTGAGGAGAACCTTAAACCGAGATAGAAATATATAGATAACTTTTCTCCTGCCTTCACTAAAAGACAAGTGATCATAACACTTTGATGCTCCAACATAGAATCTTGGTTTCATATTTTTATTACATTAATGAGAGGAGTACTAAATCCACAGGGGTCACACAGCACCATGGAAATAAGATGCAGTCAAATTTAATCCAATGAAATGAAGGGTAGTTTAAATTCTTTGGATGAAGATCTTTCAACAAACTGGCCGTTTTGAACTGAGGCAGGGTGGCCCAAAAAGAAAAATGAAAGTTTCTCTTTTTAAAATTTAGTAATATATACAGGAGAAGGGGCTACTAGCCCCTTGCTCCCGGCATTTTAGTCACCTCTGATGACACGCATGGCTTATGGAGGAAGAATTCTGTTTCACTTCCCTATGAAGATAAGCGGAAATGAACAAGAACTAGTAAGAAAATAGAAGAAAACCTGGTGGGTGTGTGTATATATATATGCTAGTACATGCATATGTAGTGTGTTCTAAGTGTAAGGAGCAGTAGCAAGACATACCTGAAACCTTGCATGTTTCTTCTTCTTTCAGTGCGCCGGCTGTATCCCACCGAGGCGGGGTGGCCCAAAAGAAAAAACGAAAGTTTCTCCTTTTACATTTAGTAATATATACAGGAGAAGGGGTTAGTAGCCCCTTGCTCCTGGCATTTTAGTTGCCTCTTATGACACACATGGCTGACAAAGGAAGAATTCTGTTCCACTTCCCCATGGAGATAAGTGGGAATAAACAAGAACAAGAACTAGTAAGAAAAATAGAAAATAACCCAGAAGGGTGTGTATATACATGTACATGTATATGCCTGTACATGCATGTGTAGTTTGACTTAAGTGTAACTAGAAATAGCAAGACATATCTGAAACCTTGCATGTTTATGAAACCGACAGTAGACACAAACAATCCTACCATCATGTAAAACAATTACAGGTTTCCGTTTTACACTCGCTTGGCAGGATGGTAGTACCTCCCTGGATGGATGCTATCTACCAACTTACTACCTAGGAGTGATATATTCTTCTTTCAACAAGCCGGCTGTATCCCACCAAAGAAGGGTGGCCCAAAAAGAAAAACAAATTTCTCTTTTCTTTTTTTTTCTCTTTTTAACTTTAGTATGTATACAGGAGAATAGGTTACCAGCCTCTTGCTCCTGGCATTTTAGTCACTTCTTAAGACACGAATGGCTTACGGAGGAAGAATTCTGTTCCACTCCCCCATGGAGACAATAGGAAATAAACAACAAGAACAAGAACTAGTAAGAAAATAGAAGAAAACTCATAGGAGTTTGTATATATATGCTTGTACATGCATGAGTATTGTGACCTAAGTGTAAGTAGAAGTAGCAAGACATGCCTGAAACCTTGCATGTTTGAGAGAAAAAAGACACCAGCAATCCTACCATCATATAAAACAATTAAAGGTTTCTGTTTCACACTTGGCAGGACGGTAGTACCTCCCTATGTGGTTGCTGTCTACCAACTTGCTACCTAAGATGGAGTACATATATACACCTACCATCTGACTTACGACCTGCTCGACATATGACCATTCGACTTATGACCGTGTTTTGTATGCCAAATTTCTGGGAAATAAACAACTGTTTGCGTTTTACACAGTGTTATCCTAAACCTTACATTATAAAATACAGTACTAACAGCATAAAAAGTAAAGTAAATATGAAATACCAAAATAAAACAATAAAATAAAGTCATTACAAAAATGTGATGTTGATATTCAGTAGCAAGGTTCGACTTACGACCGGTTGGTCGGAACCAAACTCTGTCGTAAGTCAGATGGTACCTGTATTATATATGTATATCATTCCTCCTAGGTAGTAGGTTGGTAGACAGCAACCGCCCAGGGAGGTACTACCGTCCTGCCAAGTGAGTGTAAAACGGAAACCTGTAATTGTTTTACATAATGGTTGGATTGCTGGTGTCCTTTTTTTCTGTCTCATAAATATGCAAGATTTCAGGTACATCTTGCTACTACTTCTTACTCTTAGGTCACACTACACAAACATGTACAAGCATGAGTGTGTGTGTGTACTCACCTAATTGTACTCACCTAATTGTGGCTGCAGGGGTCGAGACTGAGCTCCTGGCCCCGCCTCTTCACTGATCGCTACTGGATCCTCTCTCTCTCTCTTTCTGCTTCCTGAGCTTTGTCATACCTCTTCTTAAAACTATGTATGGTTCCTGCCTCCACTACTTCACTTGCTAGGCTATTCCACTTGCTGACAACTCTTATGACTGAAGAAATACTTCCTAACGTCCCTGTGACTCGTCTGAGTCTTCAGCTTCCAGTTGTGACCCCTTGTCCCTGTGTCCCTTCTCTGGAACATCCTATCTCTGTCCACCTTGTCTATTCCCCGCAGTATCTTGTATGTCGTTATCATGTCTCCCCTGACCCTTCTGTCCTCCAGTGTCGTCAGTCCGATTTCCCTTAACCTTTCCTCGTACGACATTCCCTTGAGCTCTGGGACTAGCCTTGTTGCAAACCTTTGTGTGTGTGTGTGTGTGTGTGTGTGTGTGTGTGTGTACTCACCTATTTGTACTCACCTATTTGTGGTTGCAGGGGTCGAGTCATAGCTCCTGGCCCCGCCTCTTCACTGATTGCTACTAGGTCCTCTCTCTCCCTGCTACATGAGCTTTATCATACCTCGCCTTAAAACTATGTATGGTATATATATATATAATATATATATATATATATATATATATATATATATATATATATATATATATATATATATATATATATATATATATATATTTTTTTCAACAAGTCGGCCGTCTCCCACCGAGGCAGGGTGACCCAAAAAAAGAAAGAAAATCCCCAAAAAGAAAATACTTTCATCATCATTCAACACTTTCACCACACTCGCACATTATCACTGTTTTTGTAGAGGTGCTCAGAATACAACAGTCTAGAAGCATACACATATAAAGATACACAACATATCCCTCCAAACTGCCAATATCCCAAACCCCTCCTTTAAAGTGCAGGCATTGTACTTCCCATTTCCAGGACTCAAGTCCGACTATATGAAAATAACCGGTTTCCCTGAATCCCTTCACTAAATATTACCCTGCTCACACTCCAACAGATCGTCAGGTCCCAAGTACCATTCGTCTCCATTCACTCCTATCTAACACGCTCACGCACGCTTGCTGGAAGTCCAAGCCCCTTGCCCACAAAACCTCCTTTACCCCCTCTCTCCAACCCTTCGAGGACGACCCCTACCCGCCTTCCTTCCCCTATAGATTTATATGCTTTCCATGTCATTCTACTTTGATCCATTCTCTCTAAATGACCAAACACTTCAACAACCTCCTCTTCTGCCCTCTGACTAATACTTTTATTAACTCCACACCTTCTCCTAATTTCCACACTCCGAATTTTCTGCATAATATTTACACCACACATTGCCCTTAAACAGGACATCTCCACTGCCTCCAACCGTCTCCTCGCTGCTGCATTTACCACCCAAGCTTTACACCCATATAAGAGTGTTGGTACTACTATACTTTCATACATTCCCTTCTTTGCCTCCATAGATAACGTTTTTTGACTCCACATATACCTCAATGCACCACTCACCTTTTTTCCTCATCAATTCTATGATTAACCTCATCCTTCATAAATCCATCCGCCGACACTCAACTCCCAAGTATCTGAAAACATTCACTTCTTCCATACTCCTCCTCCCCAATTTGATATCCAATTTTCTTTATCTAAATCATTTGACACCCTCATCACCTTACTCTTTTCTATGTTCACTTTCAACTTTCTACCTTTACACACATTCCCAAACTCATCCACTAACCTTTGCAATTTTTCTTAGAATCTCCCATAAGCACAGTATCATCAGCAAAAAGTAACTGTGTCAATTCCCATTTTGAATTTGATTCCCCAAAATTTAATCCACCCCTCTCCCAAAACACCTAGCATTTACTTCCTTTACAACCCCATCTATAAATATATTAAAAAAACCATGGTGACATTACACATCCCTGTCTAAGACCTACTTTTACCGGGAAGTAGTCTCCCTCTCTTCTACACACCCTAACCTGAGCCTCACTATCCTCATAAAAACTCTTTACAGATTTAATAACTTACCACCTATTCCATATACTTGCAACATCTGCCACATTGCTCCTCTATCCACTCTATCATATGCCTTTTCTAAATCCATAAATGCAATAAAAACTTCCCTATCTTTATCTAAATACTGTTCACATATATGCTTCAATGTAAACACCTGATCTACACATCCCCTACCCACTCTGAAACCTCCTTGCTCATCCGCAATCCTACATTCTGTCTTATCTCTAATTCTTTCAATTATAACCCTACCGTACACTTTTCCTGGTATACTCAGTAAGCTTATTCCTCTATAATTTTTACAGTCTCTTTTGTCCCCTTTCCTTTATATA